ATTTTTACTCTTTAGATAAGTTCTTGTCCTTGGAGGTTTTAGATATAAGTTGTTAAATAATTTAAGATCAAGGATCCTGTTATTTATTCTATGACTATGTTCAATGCTTTAATGATAAGATACCATTCGACAATGTCAATTGCTTTTGTAGAGCTGAAAGACTATAAAGAGATTTGATTTGAGTTGATTTGCAAAGTTAATAAAAAAAAAACGTTGTGGTAATTAAAATAAGAAGTTTGTGGTTTGCACCAGCTATTAATGCAAGATTGAAGTTTATGTAAAAAAAAGGAACAAACAGAACACCTAATTATTATACAGTAAGATGTTATAAGTTTTATTTTTAGGAGATCTATAAAAATTTAGTATTGCACATAAGATATGATGGGTTTGAGCATTATTAACGCAAATGTACCTATAACGATTGGAGTTTTTATCGTTCCCTATTAAAAAAATAACTCAGTTTAGTACAATTACATAAAAGTAAGCTACGCGGTCACTCACGGAATGATTTGATACAAAAATCCTTCGTAGGCGTGGAGAATAAAGTAGAGGAGATTATTAGAATCATCACAAAACCGTTAAAACGTTTTATTTTGTTGTACTCTATGATGAGTATAACGAAGGTTGAAACTGATTATGTGTCAGTTGGGGGCAAAACAAGTTGCATTACCTGATGAACAACAAGAGATTGATCGGGCTTAACTTTTTAAAGCAATTTTGTAATTTTAAACTTTTCTCAACAATTATCGTCACTGATTGAAGCAGCTGAGACTGAATTTAAAAATCACTTTTAGAACAAACTTGGTAATAGACATTCAGCAAAATGGACGGTCTTTTAATTTGTTTGTTTCTTTAATTTAGTTTCCTTGGTAATTTGTTTTTCTGGAAGTGATTAATTTTTAATAGTTTCTGTACTAATACTAAACACATGTAAAACTAGAGCAAACATCCATGACTTGTGGAACAGGAAACTTGTTGTGGTAAATTTTATTCGCACGTTAAGTATCAATATTTTTGGAAAAGTATCTTTTAGAAAATGACTTAGTCATGCTTACTTGTCGCTCACTTAAAGCCACATAATCAAAGTTAAATAGCAACAACTTTTAGAAAATTCTCAAAAACTGAATTAGTTAAGGAGCACAGAGAATGCTATTTTTTTACCCTTAATGTTCAATAACCCTAATAAATTTAAATCGAATTCGGTACAAAAGTGTGATAAAATATCATACATTATCAAATAATTCTTTGATACAACGACGCACACTAAGTATGAATGCAAAGTGAGTTTGTAATAAAATAAAGACAAGTGTTTCATCAGTAAGAATCATTTTAAAGCCTGATGATCAGGGACAGCTGGTTTTAACCCTTAGCTACCCAGGTATATGTTGATCAATCAGCAAAAAATGGTTATGTTCAAATATCCAACGTCCACAACAATGGAGAAAAACGTTTAAGTTATCGTCTTTGTACCCAGAAGAGATTTGGCGAAATGCGTCGATTCCAACAGCCGGTTGCCGATAGCAAGGATTAAGACTTGGGCAGACTGGTCCTTTTAAACACATTAATTAATGCTTCTTTTGTCAAAACACGAAAAATAAATAAAAGACAGCTTTGGGGAGCGTTGTAAAGGAATGTAGGGCGGTTGCAGGTGGTTGGGTTCACAGATTACTTAGAAGGACGAGGGGTTACCCGTGTTACCACTAGCCATGGACACACTGTGGCTCACGGCTATGCTTTGAATTACGTAAAAATACATACACTTAAAGGCTCAAAGGTACTTTGGTATTATACCAACCACACCGATAAATCAACTTCCAAATAAGATTTTAATTAGTTTAAATAGCAAAATCTTCCTAACCTAAGCCAACCTAACTTAAAACATAGTTCTCTCTTAGGTTGGATTAGGTTAGGTTATAGTTATTAGATGTGGTCAGTGTAAAATTAAATTACCGGCTTAAATACATATGGAGAATGTAATAATTACAATAAACTGTCACCTTCATCTGCATTTTATGAGCCTTGCGTTGAATCAATTACTTCCAGATTGGTCTGAAGCATCCAACAAGGATTACAGATTTAGGTGGGCTAGTGAGTTCTTTGACCTAACCTAAGTTTTGATTGGAAACTTTATTAAATGAGATGAAACGTAGTTCATTAGGTACGTCTTCGGCTGTTTTGGCATAACCTATCAATAAACAAGAAACTAGTGTTTTTAAAGAGCCAAAAAATAGTTCAGCACGTTTTTAGCAATTTAGACTATCTTCGAACAGGTGTTTAAGTATGCACACAAGGGTAGAAGTTGACCAATTGCTTTCCAGTGATTTGTCACAATGATATATAGATAACGCAGCAACTCAGTTCGCCAAGATTCCGGTGATATTTAACAGATCAATGCTAGTGTTCCAACCATACGAAGAAAGACAAAAAAGTGATAGAGCTACACTCAATACTGCCTCTATGATAGTAAGTCCATTGCTATGGACACTGTCACCGTGATAACAAGCCAGCTACCATTCCTACTGGCAATGTGTTAAGAAACAAGTATGTTGCGATTTATAATACAACTGTGATTAGGATCAATCCGTTGCCACTGCCATCGTCCTTAAGAAATTACTTTACCACTGCTAACATGATAAGAACATTTTGTTCTTCTTTTACTGTCAATATGATAAAAGAAACTTTGTTGCCATCACAAAGGCCACCAAGATAGTAAACAAGTCCATTGCTACTGCCATCTTCATAAGAACGTCAGTTCTATTTCTACTGCCACCTTGATAATAAGAAGTCCATCGCCACGGTGTAGCGAGCTATCTATCGAATGTCGCGGTGCCGAGGTTTCAAAACGGGGCTTAGTTTTGTGTTGCGCCGCCAGGTGTCGCCGCTCCCAGATTAACCCCCCCCCCCTTGATGGGGCTTTCAATCCCTAAACACACAACACCGATGTAATATATCATAACCCTCCTGACCACTCCGACAAAGTGTGTTTTATGGCCTCTTATTCATTGTAGTTTCTGCATACCTTTGGTTTAACATGTGTCCATCAGTAGACATTCTCATTAGGAATTTGTTGATTTTGAATTGTTTTTGCCGTAGGATTGTAGATATATTAAAATGTCTGTGATTGAGCTAAAGATTAATTGTGTCCACGTAATATAATAGACATAACTTGAATTTGTACTCGTGTTGTCTAATAGTCAAATGGAATGGTTGGTCTAAAAAAAATCACTTTTTTGTTTCCAACGCCAGTGACATTTTTTACGTTTTGAAAGAGAACGGTCCAAACCCTGGTCTTGCTTCTATCGAGTGTCGACCTTTTTGTTAGATAGCATCATTAATTCATAGCCCAATGTCAAATAGCATCTGGGTCTGGAAACTCTCTTGGACACTGATCTTTAGTTTTAGATTTTGTCTATAAGTACAACTTTGTAACTTTGTTTCAGTTTGTTGTAAGAGAATTTTTTTACGCCATTATGCAATGTGTAACTGTAAAAAATAAAGAGACTTGATTTGGACTCGAACCTATGATCTTCAGATTTGAAGGCGAACACTATAACCACTCACTACCCAGGCAATATTGGACAATTGTTTGGCGTCTTTTGTGGTTGTTTCCCCCTCTTTGGTCAACACCTTTTAAATTAAGTTAAATGCCCTAATAAGTGTGTTAACCTAACAACAATATAATCAGATAAGATCATGAATAAGGCTCATAACAGCAAAAAAGTTAGTTTTTAATTATTTAGATATTCCAAATAAAATCATAAACTAACTTAGACAGACAAAGTGTCAACCATTTTTAAAACAACGTTATAATTAAAATTTAATGATTGGTCAAATACAATTTACAAACATTAGAAATCTATTTTGCTTTTTCTTAAGCATTTCCATTCATTTTTAGGGAATTTCTCGATTTATAACTCAAATGAACTTTGGCAATTACAGGGTATTTATGACATTTTTCCTTAAAAAAGTCTTTCAAAACAGGATAGTGAATTTGTAAGTTTAAAGATTAAAATACATATTTAAATTAAAAGCAACAAAAAATGTATTGAAACTGTATATAATATCAAAACTACAACAAACCTTAATATCTATTTACAGTGTGTGGCGGTTGTATAGGTGAATGTGTAACCGATAACACATGTTGCGAGGGATTATCCCCGTGTTCACGGTTACAGCATTGAGCATCGTCAATGATCTGTGAATTGTAGGGCTACATACACAATCAGTCGGGCTGCATACACACAAGTAGTAGGGCTACACACATAAGTAGAATGGCTACATACACACAAGTAGTAGGGCTATATACATAAGTAGAATGGCTATATACACACCAGTAGTAGGGCCACATACACACAAGTAGTAGGCTACATTCATAAGTAGAATGGCTACATACACAGGAGTAGTAGGGATATATACAGATAATATTGTTACGTTATTAACCGAGATGGTTATATAGTCCACACATTTCCAACTATAGTAGGAAACACACAAATTTAGTGTGGCTACATAGACAAACTTTATTACAGGCACAACTAGTAGGCCAGAGGCAAATGTAAACAAATATTAGTGAACAAGCAACTAGTTGCGTTAAGTACTGAATTTGTAGAGCTACATATTCACGTTGAATAAAACAATATGACTTATTCGTAGTTTGTATTCTGGATCAATTGCGTCGTATTATTATAACAATATCCGCTATTTCGTCTGCGTTTTATATCCAAGGAATAAGCTGATTTCCAAAACTAAGATTATTAAAACATTATAGCCAAATAACATAAAGTGCATTACATATAAATACACTAAGAAAACAATATTCAAAATATCAAAATATGCATATGAGATAGTATCTAACATCTAAAAGCGTTTTAGGACTTCATATTAAGGACTTTACAACGGAGTGCCCGAGGTTATGTCCGATATATATTCATCCATAAGTATATATTTATCCAGATTGTCTATTTTAGTATTTTGATATAGTGTGTTATAACAAAGATTCCTACCTTTGCGACATCTAGGCTGTGTGACGGACGACACCTCCTTGACCACTGGAGTCTCCGGGGCTTCCTCCTTGATCGTCTTTGTCTCCATCGACTCTGGAACACAAGAAGTTATTGTAGTTTGATAATGTAAAACATATACATGGTTGGAAACAGTCCCGGGTTTAATTTCAAAAACTGATAAAAATAGAGCTTTAAAATTTGGTTCACAGTTACTGGGCATTAATAGTACAGTAGTTTACACAACGATTGCGTAAAGATAGTGTTAACGACACGAGTAGAAAATTTAAAGCATTACAATTTTACTTATTCTCTCTTAACCCTTGAACCTCATTGGTCCGTTACCCGTGTTGTTATGAGTAAAGCTATGCTGTTATGAAAGTAAACAATGCTGTTACGAGAAACTTTTCATTTCTAAGAACTGAACTGAAACAGCAACTTTAAAAAACAGTCGTTGGTAAAATCATCTTAACACATGATTTAGTGATACACTACCTCTTCAGGGGGAGAAGTAGTAGTAGGCTTACTAATTACCAATATTTTGTACCAGCAAAGCTACATAGTATTTATGACCAGTTCAAGTGTCACCGTGTGTGTAGGGGGTAGGGGGGGGAGGGGGTCGCCCCCCTGTGTTTGTTCTCCCTGGCCATGTCAGATAGCAGGCTGTACGTGGCCGATTATAACAACCCTGGATATACTTTAGTCTGTTTGAATTTTAAATTGATCCCCTATTTGTAAATATAGGGTTGACGTTAAACCTAATAGCGTTGAATTGGTATACCTAGACTTTAGGCTGTACGTAAGAACCAACAAAGTGTAACATTGCAAAACAAATATTAAATATTTTATCACTGTAAATAATTTATCAATGTGTAAGGTAAACCTATTCTTGTTCGATTCGGAATTTAAAATATTTGTCTTATATTTATCCATAAAAAATATTTTCGCACAAGATCTGTTTCTGAATTTGGTTGGGAAAAATTAACAAGTCACATGTAAATGTAATCGTAACATATAATGTTTTAAGAGATAATGACTTACAAAAAACGAATATACATACAGTAAATTTAGCCTTGGAAACTGATATGCAGTCGAGTGTACCCAGAGAAATTCCTTAATTAAAATTTCCATTAAAAAATAAAGTAATGAATGAAGCATAAGTTGAAACTTTCTCTGCTATAGACCTGGTCATTAGGCAACTAACCACTGCTCCACAACTATTGTAAGGATATGTTACGTCAATAACAATTTTAAAAGTGTACCTATACTAAAAAAGGATTCAAAAATCTATTGAGAAATTACGTCGAAACAGCATAAACACAATACGTTGTGCAATGTATGGATTAATAATAGTTTGCCGTATTGCGAAAAGTTCACATCAAAGCAAGTCTTTAAGAAGTCTTGGATCGAAGCCCGCATTACTGGAGCAATTAGGAAGGCAATATGACGACAGCTGGCGGAACAGTTGTGACCCGAGAGTAATATCAGGGCGCTGTCGTAGGCAGCAGGTGGCGCCGTGGCGCCCCACACTACAGGTATAGCTGAGGGCGCCCTTACACATACATTGTATTATGTCACACTGTATGCAACATTAGGGCGCTGTCGTATGCAGCAGGTGGCGCCGTGGCGCCCCACACTGCAGGTATAGCTGAGGGTGCCCCAACACATACATTGTATTATGTCACACTGTATGCAACATCAGGGCGCTGTCGTAGGCAGCAGGTGGCGCCATGGCGCCCCGCACTGCAGGTACAGCTGAGGGTGCCCTAACACATAACTTGTATTATGTCACACTGTATGCAACATCAGGGCGCTGTGTATAGGGGATGTGTAGGGGACATGCATTGTATACTCTCACTCTGTATGCAACATCAGGGCGCTGTCGTAGGCAGCAGGTGGCGCTGTAGCGCCCCGCACTGTAGGTACAGCTGAGGGCTCCCCTACACATACATTGTATACTGTCACTCTTTATGTAACATCAGGGTACTGTCGTAGGCAGCAGGTGGTGCCTTAGCGCCCCGCACTGCAGGTACAGCTGAGGGCGCATCTGCACATGCATTGTATACTGTCGCACTGTATACAACATCAGGGTACTGTCGTAGGCAGCAGGTGGTGCTGGGGCGCCCCGCACTGCAGGTACAGCTGAGGGCACCCCTACACATACATTGTATACTGTCACTCTTTATGTAACATCAGGGTACTGTCGTAGGCAGCAGGTGGCGCCGTGGCACCCCGCACTTTAGGTACATCAGGAGCTGCAATAATTGATTTTTAATTACGTTCTTTATAATAATATTTCAAATTTCTAAACCTGTTTTAAGTCAACAAAGTCAAGCGTAAGCTTTATTAATTTACAAATGTTGAAATTCTATATTAAGTGTCTACTTTAATTATTGTCTTTACAGTTGATCGTGTTTTATTTGTTATTATTTAGGCTTTTTCCAACAAACTTATTTTGAAATCTTAATTATTATGTGTGCTGTATTATATTTTCTTCAACACATTTACAATTTTTATTAACACCAAAACAAAAGTACATATGTTATTATTTTCACTAAAATAGGGCAAAAGATAAGCATAATTTCTTTAATAAAAAGATATGAAACAAAGGCCATAAAATCCTGTATTGGAAACTGGTCAGATCCTAATGTAGGGGCGCCAGCTGATAACAAGGTCGTATGAAAAGGACGTTAGTGATAACAGCTGTTGCTAATGACGTCACAGCCCCAGCTGACTGCGGTCATCCCGTTACACAATCTTGGGCGAGGGGAGGGGTAGTACAAATACTCAATATCTAGTTATGACAGTCATGTGGTCAATGGGGGCTAGAAGATTAGCAAAGCCCCCGTCACCGCAAACCTGCACACCGAGCGAATATCAGTTGCTGCACCAAATGTTATAAGTTATACGCTTTACTAATAAAATAAAATAAAAAGTGTTAACTGTGTAATTCAGAGAGTTTGAACTACCCGGTGTTTTATTCACTGGTAACATAACCTAAAATAAATTTACAAAACTTCTTGGTACTATTAGAATGGTACAGTGAGCAGTTTTACTAAATTGTATGCATTACTTGCAGCTATTTAGGTTCAAAGTTATTATAAATGATTCCGCCAGACTTAGTTTTTAGCCGTAGCATGGAATGTGTGATTGGAAATTGACATAGTTTCATCGTAGTATCTGCTTTAGTACATTGTATCTGTTATTTTGCTTATAAATCAGCTGTTGTAAATGATACTGACTTTTTTTAATCAGTTCTGAGTTATAAGTTTTTACTTCTGATTATTAATTGACAATATCAGTGACGTTTTCAGATTCATAATTTATGATTTTCAATTTACGATTTCTGATTTTATAGTTTTATTTTGATATTTCAACCTTAGAAAACTTAAATTGACTGATTATGGACTTATAAATATATACAGAACACAAGTCTTACTCAATATTTTAAGCAGCGACTTTATTATTTGGTATAATTCAGGGAAATAGTTTTACCACCTTGTGTTTAGTAATTAAGTTATTATATGTATCCAAGCCCACTATTAAAAACAAACCAACTACCACAATTAAAGTAAATTTTAACACATCACATATAGTGTTTATTAAGTGATCAATAATGTGATTATCGTCTGTGATTGAACCGTCCGCGACGCACGTAATCGTGATCGGTTATATCGCTCAGTTGGTACCACTGGACACTAATGGCTGCAGATGGAGCTCCATTACATGCGCCAATAATATTTAAAACCACAGATTGTTTCCGTTTTTAAATTTACTGCTGCATTAGCGCAGCGCGTGACTCTTTTCTGATCGGAACCCTAATGCGAAACCGACTCTGGTTCGATTGGGGTTGAAAAAGATAAAAAATATGATAAAATTTTATTGGTGGGCAATGATTTTGTGATTTTTTTCTAGTTTAATTAACTACTTAATGGATATTTTTTCACAATTTTAACATACGTACGAAAAACTACTACACAAATCTTTGGACTTGTTAACAAAATTTATTACGAACTAAGAAAGTGTTCAACCACTTAAAATATGGTGTTTGGCACTAGACTTTCAAAATAAAAATGTGCCACTAACTAAACGATTTTAAATACTTTACTTTTTTATTTAAATGCGAGTAGAATGGTATTACAGTACCACTTGACTTTTTTTGAAGTCGCAATATATAGGCAACCTATGTTAAAAGAACCGTATATACAGTTTTTTAGTTGTACATCAGGCACAGTATCGTCTTATTACAGTACGTGTAAGCACAGAAAACATACTAGTAGGACTAGTAGTATTACTAGTAGTACTAGTAGTATGTTTTCTGTTGTGTAAGGTATTGTTTTGTTGCTAGTATAAAAGTTGTCGTTTTAAAACCAAAAATATCTAATGTACAGACTTATCTATTATATCCCTACATTGTAAATAAAACATGTGATTGGAATTTCATCCATTTGTTTTGATTTCCTGTTTATATTTCATTGTTATTTCGTCACCAAGATGACAATAAATAAGGCCCATAATATATTTTTTTTTTAATTTAAATTAATATTTGTGCTTATTTTTGAGCTTGTTTTAATTTATAAAGGGATTCTGCACATCTGCAAGAAACGAGCTGCGTTGTAAACGAGCTGAGAAAAAATGTTTGAAAGAAACATGCTTGCCTATTAATAGATTTGCTATAGGGATGGGGTTTTCAAAATAATTAAAAAACACATTAGACATTAGGAAAATCTGATAGTTTGGGACAAGGCATAAGTTCGCAATATTAAAACAGTACATCTGCAATATAAGTTGATTGACAACAATTTCTCTATATGCTACGTATAAGGGAGAAAGTAAATATAAAAACACCATATACAAGAAACATTAAAATCTAACATTAAAAACTATCTTTGTAGTTAGCATTGTACGTGTTATTAATTTTACTTAAAGTAAAATTAATACATTTAATCACCCTCTTGAAACATATGTCTTACGCTTTTGGGGTTTGATGATGATTGGAGCGTACAATCAAAATCGAAAACCACTTACCATATTTTATACATATTAACCGTATTGTGAGTTTACAGTGTAATTGTAAATATATGTTTTGAGAGTGTTATTACACGTATTTTTATTTAGGCCTTCTTGCAGTAACATTCGACTATCTTGCAAACAAAATTTACGTACAGTTCAATACGATTTTATACGTTACTAGTGTACATGTTGCTTGAAATCGAGTAATTGCAAAGAAGTACAGGAGTTATTTATAAACAAATAACTTGTTTAAAAATGATAACAGTCATAATTTCCGATGATTTTAAAACAGTCAACTAAAAGATTATTAACTAATGGAAATACTCACAATTTACATAACAGTCCTATTCCAGTTTAAATGGTTAATTTATAACAATCAAACTGCCGATGGACGGGAAAAAATAAGCTTACAATTTAAGTCAACGTAAAAAGGCTGTCAGCTTTTATAAAATACCGTACCAAAGATAATTAGCCAATTTGTAGACAATAAGGTGTAGGCTACTTTAAACTCTACAGGACAGAGTTAGGCAAAAACTGGCAGAACTCTGAAATGGTGTTATTTGTCACAGGCTTACTCATATGCCAAATCCTTAAAATCAAAATTCTATAATAATTAATAACTTACATCATTAAACACAAACCAACATCCAAAACTATACACATTTTTAATACAACATAGATAATTTACACATTGGCTGTTTACAATTAACATATGTTCTTCTTCTCACTTTTAATTTTTCTTCGCAACGGGAAAATCCGTTTCATAATCATTGAAATAGATTTATAATAAATAATCTTACTAATATTGTAAATATGTGAAAGTTTGTGTGTTTGTTTGTTTGTTTGTTTGAAGTTCAATCACGCATTAACGACTGGACGGTTTGGGCTGAAATTTGGCATGATGATAGCTTACATTCCCGATTAACATATAGGCATATTCTTTTCTCAAAAATCCTTTCGGGCTCCGCCCCAGTGGCTCTGCAGTTCCCCATGTTAACCTTATGAGTATTCATATTTAAATGGAATGAAAGAATTTAGTCAGCTGTTTCAACTAAAAAGTTGGTTCTATGATAAGCAAAAGCATTAAAAAGTTATTAGATTTACCAACAGGGCGCAGCACTATTATTTTGGTTGCATTTATGATAACAGCTTATTTGAACTATAAACAGCAACAAAAAACTGTGATACGCAATGAGAACTGTCAAAGTAGGATTGTTTACAGTTATGTTTATGTTTTTCATTGCATGAATAATTTGTTATATTTTGCAAACTTTTAATAATTTATTTTTCTCTATTGTTTAGGTGAAGTGGTAGAACATTATGGCTATGTTAGATGTGTAATACTATGGTATATGGTAAATTTAAAGAAGCAAATTTTATCAAACTGTGTCCTCCCCTATTGCAAATGCTCGAGTATAACTGCAATAAGGGGTTTATACGTATATTCCGTCCCCGTACGAAGGACGGGTACTCTGCTAGTCTATCATAAAGTATATGATTAAATAAACCTACCACATAGTTGTTTTATTTTTTCTTTGGATCAGCTGTCTGAAATTGTGAAAATAGGCATTTGACAGTTCTGGTTGTTTAAATCTATATGTCAAAGCAAATGTAAACATTGTGAATTTTCTCATGCTTCCATGGAGACCAATTATTAAGTGAGGTTTAATTTCTGACAACAGCTGAAGTTTCAAAACAATGTTTGTTTCCCATGTTAATCTTATGGAGAAATACAAAACTTTAAAGAGTCCCAGGGCCTCACTCTCTAATTATTTACCTAAAAAGAAAGTTTCCTGCACAACTTCACGTTAAGCTCTTTCCAATGACACCAAAAACATGTCAATCGGTTCAGTAGTTTCGGAGGAGTAATTGTCACAAAAATCCTGCTTGCGTATTAAATAAGTATAGATAAGTGTATCTACTCATGAGTGTTCATCCAAATCAAAAGAAATAAATAAATAATCTAATTTCCATAACTAAGATTTTCAGAAGAATGTAAAGTATGAATTAAATTTTAGGTTATTCAAATTGCAGTTAAAGTTTCGTTACCGTTTGGATAAGTTACTAACGATTTCCAAATCTTGCACTAGCTCAAAAATAATATTACAATAAAAATTTGAGATAAAAACTGATTGGTTTTC